AGTTCAGAAAACCTTTGTTCATACTGGACTGTAACATGGGCTACCTTTTGGTTGGCTCTTTGTTCAGCTTCCAGTGCAACTGCATTTGCAGCATTCTTCAGCTTTGCGTTTGCATCGCTAAGTTCCTGTCTCAGTTTTGCTACCTCATGCTCAGTTGCCGTTTGGGACATTGAATACTCTGACACTAGGTGTTCATGTCTGCGATCAGCTTCTGCACGTTGATGGGCGATTTCGCTAAGGCAAATTCCCTCAAACTCTTGGTACAGTTGCTGGACCTTTTGTTCCATGAGATGTGTGTGCCTCTCCTCTGCCTCTTGCCTGAAAGCATCAATGTTACCTTCGTTGATGTAGGTAAGATTGTTTTGCACGAACTGGAAATAGGCTTGCACGGGCTGTGTGAAGAAACCTTCATCCACTGACATGGGCGTGGGGTTTGTCCCAGCCGGCAAGCTCTGTTGAGAACCAGTTGATGCGGACACTGTTCCGGTTGAAGGCACAAGGGCACCACCACCTGTAGCGTCGTGTGTCTTGTCCATGGCTTTAGAGACTACGGCTGATAACCTGTATTTACAGGTTTCAGCTGGGGTTATCTTATAATCCCAAATAGACTGATAAACCTATGGGGCAAAACTAGAAACCGTTAAGCACCTGCGGCAGCAGAGCTTTTTTACTGAGCCGCAACAGCTGTGGTAACATGCTAGTATACATGTGTGTTTTATGTGAGGTGCTTTTACACGTACTCAATGGTTGCCGGAAGGTGCCATGACATCCCTCAAAACCCACAAGTGGACAGTCTCTTTTGCCACTTCGAGTGCTGGCCCGTGGTTCTAATCCACCTGAGTCACTAGGGCCCCAATCTCATGCCACCCAGTTATAAGTTGGTGTGTAAACCAACCTATAGCATCCTATGGCTACAGCTTTATGGCCATAAACCCAACAGTTCACCTAGTTATTTCCACCAACTTATAAGTTTATAGCCATGCAGCTCCCTGGGGCAACAGGTTCTGAAACCTCTGAAAGCACCAACTCAGCCGCTCGAACTCCCCGCCTGGCAGAGTGGCCAGACTGAAAAGTCGCGGCGCGCTAGGCCAGCTCCGGCGCCGGGTGGCCCCTGAGTCGGGTGAGCCACGGGCTTCACAGGGATTCCCAGGGCCTAGGGTTGACCCCTCAATCTTTGTAGCCAGAATGGGTCAAGGATGGACCAGGTGCCAACATCTTGAAGTAACCTGTCCACTGGTCGAAACATGTCTCTTGTTGGTAGAAAAAGTTGGTCATACATTCATCATGGATCTACAAATGGGTGAGAAGAAGCAACAGTATTTTGATATATTTTAACATAATATAATATAATATGATATAATATAATATGATATAATATAACATGATATGATATAATATAATATAATATAATATAATATAATATATAATATAATATATAATATAATATATAATATAATATATAATATAATATATAATATAATATAATATAATACAAGTAATATAATATATGATATGATATAATATAGTATAATATAGTATAATATGTGCTTCAACCGCTGGGGTCTACGTAAGTGGTTGGTGGTTTCTGCCTTTGCCTTCTGCCCTCCGTATGTTCTGTCAATTGCCAGCCCAGTTCTAGCAGGGTGGTTCAAAATCCGGAGTCGTTTTACCAAATGGTAACCCCCGAAAAAGATAGAACAAATTAGAATACATAAGTACCATTTATCACTATTTTAAGGGGAATTTTACCAGCTTCTATCTTTTTGGAGATTACCCTATCCTAACAAAATTGTTCGCAACCACAAATCTGATGTAGGGATTCAAGTCTCCACACTTTTGTGATGGATAGGGAAGCTGTTCCAAGTAAATCAGTGTCAATCTTAGATGCCCTGAAAAAAGTTTACAGCAGTTGTTGACGTTAATATATCCCTATATACCCCTATATTATTTATATATATATAATATATATATATCTTAAGTCATACTAAACTCTCTATCTACCAGGCCCTCCTCGGGGCCGGACCAGTTTCTGCCACCCAGCATGGCCTTTCGCGGCCTCTCAGATGAATCCGACTCAGAAATCAAACCAAGAAATTGCCCAACACATGGGTATGTCTGAAAATGGGGTATACCCCCAATTATAGCCATTTAGTAGGGATAATGATCATTAACCACTGGGTGTAGAGGTACACTATTTTCAGACAAACCCAAATTGCCAAACATGACGTGATGCACCGCAACCAAACCGACCAAACACCATTCGCAAAATCTGTGGAAAAACCCTGCATTTTTAAGTGGATCGCAAAAAACAGACAATAATTCACCAACCTGCGGAGTGCGGCCATTATGGGGACAGCTACTCCAATCCAATTTCCATGCTTCCGGTGACCCTTTGGTGCCTGCAAGAACCGCCCCGGGAGCCGTGCGGCCATGAAACGCCACATGGTCGAGAAACTGACACTGACTGAGTTTGAAATGAACTTTTACAGCACCAAAATAGCGAGAATTTTCAAAATTTAGCATGAGGTGTTTGATGTTTTAGCGGTTTTTTTAGGGTTTACTCACAGGAATTGTTCGGAAACAATTGGGAATCATGGAGGACTGATCAGTGAAAACGACCGGTAAATGCATGGTCATCATCCTGTGCATTGGAAATGCTGGAAAAAACCAGTGCGATCCCGTGCTGGCTGTTGACCGGTAAATCACAAAACCAGGATTCATTATGAAACCAGGTAGAAATTATTCATTGGGTATCCATTATTGTATACCAATGTCTATTGTCAGCATTGTGAAATCAGGTGAATCAGGTGCAGTTCATTTCATAATAATGAATACCCTCTGGTAAACTAACATAACTATGGAAAATCACCATTTTTAATGGGAAAATCCACTATAAATGGCCATTTTCAGTAGCTACGTTAAATTACCAGAGGGTACCCAATGTGACCTCAAACATCATAAAACTAGATGCAGCATCAGGCTCTCTCCTTGTTTGGATATGATTGGCTGATGCGGGAGCCGCTCTGCTTGCGCCACTTGGTGATCTCACTTGCTGACTCAGTGGTATAAGTCACACTGCACTCATGCTGAACTGGGAAGTATATTAGCGAGCGTGCAAAAATTGGGGGATCCTAACTTGGTTTCCTCATTACGGTAAACATATAAAATATATAAACTGTAAAATTTTGGATGCCGTTGGGGTCCCCTTGTTTTAGATGTGTAAAAAAGAAAGACGATGTCTCGAAGAAATTGTCTCCTGGTTGTGACATAGACCATCAGTTTGGGGGGCTGCTATTGTCTGGGGAAAGAAAAGCATCTATGAACTGAAGCCTTCCCAACAAAATGAAGCTGGGGAATATGTACCAATCAAGATCGGGCTGATTGCAAATATGTTCCGATGAACAACGGAGCTTGAAGTCTCTTTTTGAACGAAAGCAAACCAAAAAACTCTGAGAAACGTGGACGACGTGAAGAAAATGGGTCAGCTTTACAATGTTACAATCCAAGATTCTTAGGCACTGTTTAAACACCTGTGACTCTCGGCAGCCGAACTCCCCTGGCTGACTTAAATTTCACCATGTGGGACCATCCCGTAGAACCTCCGATCATGGAAATGCGCTGGTATAGATTGGATAGCGACATAAACTGGTTGGTGGTATATATAAAAATTATGGAAAGATCGACCCATTTTCAATGGGTAAATCCACTATAAATGGCCATTCTCAATAGCTATGTTAAATTACCAGAGGGTATCTCCTACTGGTTGGTGGTATACCATGGTATACCTACCCCTCTGAAAAATATGAGTTCGTCAGTTGGGATGATGACATTACGTATGGAAAAATGTTCCAAACCACCAACCAGTAAAGATATAAAGCCCAGCTACTAAGTTACTAAGCAGTTCCTACAGTCATGTCAAGGATCATCTAAGTAGTAGCGAGAAAAATATGGAGGATTCATTTTCCTCCTGCCAACAGGATCCCATGTTGTCCTGTTGGCCTCATCTTAGGATCCCGCATGTTTCTGACATGAATTGGGGTTGTCAGGGTTGTCGGAGAATAGATACCCTCCAGCGGTAGTAGTGGTGAACACATTTTCACACTATCCTGGAACTTCAATCAGAGTTTTGGATAGTATTTTGGTCTGTAAATCCACTAAAAGGGTACTAGACCCAAAAATCTATTACTATCTAGATCTCCATGGATTTTTCATGAAAAATCACCGTTTCTTTTTGGCGAAATCCCTGCTTTCGGTACGGGCTGACCGGCTGTCCTTGTCCTTATCCGCCTGGTCCTCAGGGTCCGATGGAACCTTTTCCGACCTCAGGGACTCCGGGGCAAAAGACTCCTCTCTGTTTTGCAAAGCCCCTGTTACATGAGGGTTTATTATGATTGGATTCTAAGGTTTTTGTATGTTTTATAGGATTGGATCTAATTATTTAGTTTCAGTCTTTTGATCCCTACTGTTTAGGATTCGATCTATTCATGTTTTGGCCCCGTTAGTACAGTTATTTAATACTAGGGGCATGGGATTAGCGTGTGATATTCCCATGTGGATGTGAGCCACCTCCCAAGATTGTCTTTACCCATGGTTTGTTCTCGTTTTGCTCAAAGGCTGTTTGTTGATGTGGATAGCCAAATCGAATTATCTTCAACTGCAGAACACCTAAAATTGGATAAGCTATACAACTTGTACCCTTAGACTTCATTTCAACCGAATACTAACTATACATAATTTCACCGACATCTGCCTTGATCCTCCACTTGCTGGCAAAAAGAAATACATCAAACAACAACACAGAAATAATACAAAAAATAACATCAATAAACCAAAGGTTCATCATTCGGGTTTGTCTGAAAATAGTGTACCCCTACACCCAATGGTTAATGATCATTATCCCTACTAAATGGCTATAATTGGGGGTATACCTCATTTTCAGACATACCCATTTTTCCATCTGTTTCCCACCTTTTCCCCTGGGCCCCGGCCTCGGCTCCGGCCTCGGCTCCGGCGCCTTTTCCGCAGGCGGCCGCGGCGCCGGGCGCGCGGCCTGCGCCGCGCGCTCCGCCGCTTCGCGCTCGCGGCGCTCCAGCGCCTCGCGTCGCTCCGCGGCAACAGGGCGGTCCTGGAGGGGAAGCACCATGCGAAGCCGTGGATTTCATGGGGAAATATTTGATATTGTTTACATGTATAATGTATATCCATATTATGGATGTTTATACTTGTGCATAAATGCTGTGAATGTATTTATGTCGCATTTATGTCATATACAAATATATTTTGTATATATATTAATATATATAATATTATATATATATATTGAAACTTAGTTCGAATATATACATAAATATGTATATACATGTATATACAGCATACATCGTTTTGGAATACATATATATATATATATGTGTAACTCTAAACCAATGTAAGGGGGCAAACTGAGTAATAATAATTGGGTACAATAGGGTTGCCATGGTGGTATAAACGATGGATATAGTGGGGATGCAACTGATAAAACATTTTTTTATTGGGGGTCAATGATATAATATATTATAATATATCTGGGAAAATGATCATATTTTACTAATCAGAAATACCCTCTGGTAATTTAACATAGCTATTGAAAATGACCATAGAAATAGTGGATTTTCCCATGAAAAATGGGTGGATCTTTCCATAGTTTTTTGTATGTTTACCAGAGGGTAAGGCCATTTGAGGGTGATTTCCCTATTGTTTCCCCCAACTTTAACCATCATTCCAGGCTTCGGGAGACCGAGGCATCCCATGGCACCTGGAGGTTCGCCCGGGGCACGGGGGCCTGCAGTTGAAGCGGCACGGGGGCTTGGTTTCAGAGCGAATCCAGGAGACCCCACAATGAAAACTGAATTCTTGAACTATTCAAACTATACTATACCTATAAACATTCTATAGATAGTGAACATGCTTCATTCAAACTAAAAAAATTACATCAATTAAGTATGTTCAAGTTATGATCAGGTCTCTTTCTCATCAAAATGTTTGGAAAGAAAGATCTGATCAAAATGGCTGGCAAAATCTGGAAAGAAGAATCTCATCAACTTCGCAGTCATGAAGGTTCAGTTGCAGAACCAAATGCGGTCACAAGCACCGATCAACAAAACATCTTCCGCTGGTGGAAATAAACAAACAGCTGGGTGGTTGAAACAAACAGCTGAAGATTCGGCCGTTTGGTCACCTTGAAACAAACGGAGTATGAATAAAAGGCCCTTTTTTCACGGTGTGTTTGGTGAAATCCCCATTGAATGGTTCCTGGTATAGTTTTGGACCACTCACATTATCTTTGTGCAAGTCATCTTCACGTGATTTTACTATACTATTATATGTGTTCTCAACGTATATATATATATATATATACGTATATATCTATACAAAGGTGTATCTATACAGATAGATACATTAATATTTCATTGTACAATAATGTGGGTAAAACATGGTCAAACAATAAATCATCCCCCAGTCTCCGGGGCTCCCAACCCCAATGGGACGAGAAACCTTGGATGAATCATGGGGGATAAACCGTGAATCGTGGGGAAAAACCCTATGAATTAGTCATAAATCACCATTTATAGTGGATTTTCCCATGAAAAATGGGATCTTTCCATAGTTATGTTAAATTACCAGAGGGTAGTTCTTGGGATTTATTGGGAGTTGAGAGTTATTGTTAGATTTATGGTGGCTTAATGGGGATTTGATGGGAGTTAATAGATTGAAGAGGGACTTAAGAGGAACTTATATGGGGATATAATAGGATATCAATGGGATAGATATTACTGGAATACTATTGATATTGATTATAATCAATATCACCTGGTAATGACTAACAGTTTTCTATGGAAAATCTCTATAGAAATCAAAAACGGTAAGATCGATCGAACTACATCGATCATCTATACACCATAGCTACCAAAGAAATTACTGGACGGTATGGTATGGCTCAAAACATGGTCAACAAAATGCAAAGAACCAGAGACTCAGAGACCTTCAACATGTTTAGCCTCAAAATCTTAGCATCTCTACACACAGGTGGTCGCTTCTGCTGTTTGGTCTTAGGCTAAGTTTTTTCCGTCAAGATTGGGTGCACCAAACTTGGGTGCAGAAAAGGGTCGTCTTCCTGGAAAGGTTTTACCCATATCCAACTAAATGGTTTGCAAGTGCAGTACTGGAGGCAAAACCCCCTTCCTAAGCCGATTGCTGTACTTTCAAAGTCCACTTATGAAATCTATTTCATTCTAGAAACGGTGTGTAAAAAACCCACGGTACTTCATAATTTGGGGGTTGAAATGTATCCTGAGAGCAGCTGTAGAAGCAGTGGTCAGGGGCGATAGCCGCCCTCTTGGAAGCTATGTGATACTGATACTAGTAATTAGTGTATATCTATATATATATATACATACATCTACATCTACATATACATGTACATATACATATACATCTACATCTACATATACATATACATCTAAATATACATAGACATGTACATCTGCATCTACATATACATATACATCTACATATACATATACATCTACATCTACATATACATATACATCTACACATACATCTACATGTACATCTACATCTACATATGCATCTACATCTACATATACATCTACATATACATATACATCTACATATACATCTACATCTACATATACATATACATATACATATACATCTACATATACATATATACATATACATCTATATATACATCTACATCTACATATACATCTACATCTACATCGACATATACATATGCATGTACATCTACATATACATACGTATATACATCTACATCTACACAGCGCGCACCATCTGCAAAGATAACGTTAGTAACATGCTGTGGATGGAAGAATCCTGCATCACCAACCGGATGGTTGAAACTAAGTTGAAACCCTATCTGGTTGGTGGTTTCAACCCCTCTGAAACATATTAGTCAGTTGGGGCTATTATTCCCAATATATGGAAAAATAAAAAATGTTCCAAACCACCAACCAGCTATAAATAATGGGATGTTTACCATCTGTACTAACTGGTGCAGGATTTCACAACCATGCACCGTATGTAACTGCCTTTTTCATCCTTTTTCCACTCACATCCCAGTCATCATCAACATCATCCTTCCCTGTCACCACCATCGTTATCACCACGGCCGCGTCGCCACCTGTCACCTTTCTTTCGCGACACGCGACAGCACTGTGGGTCTGTTCATTGACCAGGGCCTGGGCCGTCGCCCTGCGCCCGCTGGCGTGCTGAAAATCCAACCATGCAGTTTTTGCACATGATGTCAGGGATGCTTCTTCAGAGTAGTATATGGGTGTCAGGTCACCCAGTGCAGTCGTCTCATCTCAGAAAAAATGCACATGTTCACATGTTCTTGTGCTGTGTGGAAGCAAGGTAAAAAGAGGACAATAGTGGTGATGCTTTGGAGTTGGATTTGAATGGAGTTGTGTCCAAACCGCAGATACAGCAATTTATGGCCATTTCATTGAGAAGCCATGATGATTTCAACATTTTTCTAAGCCATGATCAACCATGGTTTTTTAAGGCCAAACGTTTGGGGCTTCCCAAGGAGACAGCCCCACTTTTCCAGTAACCGAGGGGACGTCCTGGACCGTTACTGTAACGGTGATGCCCCGTAGGCTTCATTGAGTTTGGTGGGTTAACTAAGGCTGGTTGGTGGTATACCTACCCCTCGGAAAAATATGAGTTCGTCAGTTAGGGCTATTATTCCCAATATGATGGGAAAAATAATCCAAATGTTCCAAACCACCAACCAAAAGGGGTTATTGTGGAAATTTCCGTTTATAAACCCATAACCGGGGGACCGCATGATGGTAGATGGAAGCCACCAATATACACAGCATTGCATGCCAAATTGTACTCGTCGTATTTCGTGGGTATCTGGCTAGGGTAGCCAGGTATTCCATCGAGAAATCATGCATGGTTGGACCGTTGCCTACCGTGGTTTCGCGGCCAGCCGCACGGGCATGTCTGGATGTCTGACCAAATGTAGAGCAGGAAAACAAAGCTCCAAACAGAAGTGAAACTTGGAATCTCCCCAGAAGAATCATCACAACAATCACGGCATCTTTGGATTCGTATCCGAGGCGAATTCAAGTTTGTATGGTCAGCTTTCCGCATTCCTGGGAGTATCCCCTATCTCTACCCCCCTTATACTACGATGACCATCAGCTATGGGTGTCCCCGAAATGATAGAAACGCCAAAATCCAGGATAATTGTGAGAGATCATATTTCCATAATTTCCAAGTTTCTAAGTGTTCTATAATGTTCTATATATGACTGGGGGTTGCTATTGTAGGGCAGCACCGCGCTGTAGAATCCAAGTGTGATCCCCTGCAGAGCTCTTGACATCCATAAACATGCCAGGCGATCTGGCAATCTGTGGCTCGAAAATTCCATCGCATCCATCTGCAGCAGTTCTGCTGCCGTTACCCTGCCCCTTTTGTTGGGTATACAATGGTAGACAATCATTGGATATCATTGGTGGTTATCTGTCAAAGATTTGTCCAAAGGGCCAACGATTCACAGAGAACAGGGGGATTGTGTTTCGATCCCAAACTCTGCTCAGACTCAGTTTATGAAGTGAATGGCAATGCCTTGTCCTCTTGAAGCTTGTGATTTCTGTTTCATCCCACGCGAATTGTCTTCAGGGTGTTTTTTTCTTACCTTCATTCATGATCCTTTATTTGTAGATTTGAAGAAAGGATCACATGGGTCCGAGGTCAAACCTTCCCAAATCAGGTGCCATTGATGAAATGAATCATATGTCGGATATGGCCCGCTGAGAATTGAAAAATCAAGCAAAAAACAAAATTTGACGGACCGTATTTGGTTTTCCAAGTCTGAGTCAAACCCATTTCAAAACCTATCGATGGTAAAGCAATTATGTGTTCTTTTCTTGCTACCTAACTAAAAAAGAAGACGCCTTGGTTACTGTATGCAGGCATGAAAGTTGATGCATGAAAGTATTTGTCTGGGTATTGGACAAAAAATCAGACCCCGGGGGCAACAAGAATTTGACCCACACTGTCTGTCATAGCAAACATCGAGTATGTCTCAAGAATTGAGCATGAATGGTTCCACAAAGTTTGCTGCTCTTAATACTAGACTCTCCGTTTCAATTTTTGAAGCCTTCACAATTTTGAGCCATGTTGAGCCATAACTGTGTATACATACGTGCATGTTTCATCATTTTCATACTGTATGTGTGTGGGGATTTTCGTCACTTTGAGTTGTTTGAAACATGAAACCCATTTGCCCGGCCCATTTGGGGGTACGTCAAAACTATCAACCCGCGAAAATCCATCGTTCAGTACTAAAAATCTACAGTAATCTACTGTACATAACACGGCCGATTTTTGAGCAAGACCCATTTGAGTTACCATCTGGTTATGACTAACAGTTCGCCATGGAAAATCCACCCATGTTTAAGTTCGGTAAATCAACTAAATTTCGATGGGCCATGGCTTAACCATGGCTATGTAACAGCCATAACCAGAGGGGTCAGATCTCAATGATGGACGGCAAAAAACAGCGCCCGGCCAGCATCTCTCAGCGACGCCTAGAACAGACAGCTGGGATTCGGCTGTGCAATCCTTCCTAAATCTACGTGAAGATGGGCCATGGGAAAATGGGAAATTAGCTATATTCCTGGTTAATAACTGGGGATTTGTTACCCAAAAAAAATCCCAATGAAATAATCCATGGTTACGAACTAATTTTCCCTAACTCCAGCTCAACCCAAACATTTCGTTCACATCCTTGGTGCACCTCAGTGAGTCACCGCTATGGAGTGACTAACCCTAAACCCACCTTCGGGACCATCGGGACCCACGGGATCGGACGTGGGTTTCACTTCGGCCCAACTTAGTTTGATCAGGTTTGATCCCCGTATAATTTCCTTACTTGGAGGTTTTTGACGCTGCTTAGGGAAAAAAATCCCTTTGTGTATCACCAACCAATCCCAGACAATTTGGCGTTGTCCATGTATGAAAATATCCAAAAAGTGGTTGCAACGAAATGCCCATGAGTGGCGAAGATGCATCCAATGTTTGGTTGATGAGACCAACATTCCCCATGGCTAACCCGCCTCAAAAAGAAACGGGACAATTCCTCCAGTTATTGGTTTATATATATATATTATACATTATATATATATATTCATATATATATAGTATATATATATATACTATATCTATATATATATATATGTAAATATGTATATATATACTATATACATACACTATATAAATATATATATACACTATATATATACTATATATATATACATATACTTTTATATATATATATATATGGATGACATATATAAACATGTACTTGGCCTTGCTGTTTACCCAGTACCTGTCTAGACCCCCCCCAGACGTCCCCCCAAAAATTCCCCAAACGGCACCCCCCTTCAAGACGCAGCTTCCAGGGAGGCCTTGAGCGACAATGTCTCCAGTTGGTCTGTGCGCTATGGCGAATACGAAAAAAATATACACATGCACACACACATGTTCTTACATAGTTTGAAAGATTACATATAAAAAATTACACACATTTACATGTAGACATAAATACATATACTGTGAGGGCCCATGGCCTCGAAGCTTCCAGGGTTTCATTTTAGGGGGCTGGAAATGTAGGCCCTGTATCAGCGATGGTTCCAAGCCGAGCTTGTGATAGTATAAACACTACAGGATAGCATAATATATTTATATACTGTTTCTTGATACCTATACTTAAACCAGAAAACTACCCAAACATCTTCACATGCAACGCAGATGGTCCAGGAAATGCATCAGGGCAGCTGGGATGACCAATGGGTTCTGCAGCCTTTTTGCCACAACAACCTCAAGCGTTTGGAACCCGCAGTGGTTCAGCTACTTCTCTTTGTACCATGTCGGATGATGCAGCTGCCACTGCGCCAGCTGCTGCAGTGCCAGCTGGAGCTGCACCACACACTCGTGGACAAGACCAGTTGCCAGCCTTACGCGCCGCAAGGGCCGTGCTGAAGCAGCAGCTGAAAGAATCGACCAAAGAGATTCGCAAGGAGGCAGGTGCCACTCAAATTCTCATTCTTGTGGGGGGATGAGCCCTGAGCTTGTCAACAGATGCATGTCAACAAACGTTGGCCATGTGACTGCATGCGCGCCTGTCAACATCTTTCTTGCCAGGTTCGCCGCAGATCTCGTCTCATGAAAAAAGCCCAAGGCTTAACGACGGGTGACCTGGCTTGGCTCCGAAAAGGATGCGGTTGAGCTGCAGCAGGTATCGTCCTCGTTTTCTTCAAAAGCAGAAGGTGAGCTATGCGGATGCATACGCCGAAGGCGTTGAGGTCAAGATCGATCCTTGCTCCCGTTTGAAAAAACCGCTTATTGGGTCATCAAAGTGATTCTTTGGAAAGCCAAGGGGCTGGGTGGGCGGACGGGTTTTCTTTGGTTTGTCTTTTGTCTCCTCTCGCGGTGCATTCTTCGTCAATCCCAATTTCATGTGCCGAAATCACTTTGGGTGTTTTATCTTTTGCGGCCTCTGGCATCATGGCCATGCAGTTTCAGCTGATCAAATTTTATGCGTTCTGCCCTGGCCATTTTACCCTTGGAGAATCCCATAGGCACGAAGCCAAATAAGATTAAGACATCTCAAAATACTGTGAAGAGCTTGGTGGGCAAATCCTATAGGCACGAAGCCAAATAAGGTTAAGACATCTCAAAATACTGTTAAGGGTAAATCCTATAGGCATGGAGCCAAATAAGGTTAAGAAAGTCAAAAAATAAGAAAATAAATAGAATCATCTAATCCTTTTGATTGTGAATTTCCAGGTTCTTAACCTTATTTGCTCCAATTCCATTAGGATTGCACTCCGGAAGTCTTACCTGTATTTTGCGAATCCTTAACCTTATTTGCTCCAATTCCATTAGGATTGCACTCCGGAAGCCTTACCTGTATTTTTCGAATCCTTAACCTTATTTGCTTCACTGACATCAGGATTGCACTCTGGAAGTCTTACCCTTATTTCTCTAAACCTTACCCTGATTACATTAGGATTGCACCACGCAAGCTTGACACTCACCTCACGGAGTCCCATCCTTATATCATTTCATCACACAATTTTCAGTGTATTGCCGGATGTGGCGGCAGCTCGGCTGCTCGCGGCTGTGGCGGCTGCTGCTGGCTGTGGCGGCTGCTGCTGGCTGTGGCGGCTGCTCGTCGATGCGGCGGCTGTGGCGGCTGCTGCTGGCTGTGGCGGCTGCTCGTGGATGCAGCGGCTGTGGTGGTGCGGCAGCTTGGTGGATGTGGGTTGCTATGGCAGAGGCCAGATTTTCCTCCAAAGTTTGCAAGTAGACGAGATTTGGCATGGGTTGTTGCTGCTGGCCGTGGCTAGGGTGCCTGCGTTTCTTTCGCTTGTGTCTTGTCCTCCTCGTGGTCTTTGTCCCTGTCTTGTTGTATCTCTCCTCTGTTTCTCCCCTCGTTTGTTTTCCTGCCATTGTCGCCCTGTGCAGGTGCCTACATCGACCTCGAGCTCTACACGCAGCGGCCCCTTGGCTTGCTTGTGGTTGCTGCTTGCTGCTACTGCTGCTGGTGTTGCTGCTGCTGTCGCTGTTGTTTGTTGCTGGCCTGGCTGCTTCTGCTGGTTGCTGCTGCTGCTGCCGATTGCTGTTGCTTCTGGTGGCTGTTGCTGCTGTTGTCTTCCTGTCGCTGTTGTTCTTGCTGCTTGTGATTGTTCTTGCTGTTGGTGTCGTTGTTGGTGCTGCTTCCAGGCAGGTCCATGTTGCTTCACCATGTTCATACTCTCTGGAGGGAAAAATGTAACAAAATTTCTTGCCGCAGGATTCCCGAGTGTCTAGCTGTGTGCTGACTGCACCTAATTAAATATTCAAGGAGCCGACTTCACTGGTGCATCCGTGTTACATTTTTCGTTCAGCAACATAGAAAGTACCCACCCCCATATAAAAACCCCTCGCCCCGAAATCAAGGTTGATTGTTTCATTGGGCCTGGATCCGCGGCAGTGACACTGTACTCTATTTGGATGCCAGCAAGTCTCCATTCTGCGAAAAACAACATTGATTTAGAGGGGCACGGGGGAGGATGATGGTATGATTTCTATCCCTCTGCCTCTGATTGCATTTCATTGCCTTTGCTTCTGCCGGTGCTTTCTGCATATACATCTCCGGCTTGTTGCTTCCATTTCTGTAGCTCAGGTTTTGGGCCCGCCGCGGACACTCGTTGGGGACAGAAAAAGGGCCTGATTCGGCAGCATGAGCCAGTGTCGTACTTGTGGCCCCTCCTTGTATATATATATATACACACACACATGAAATCAATACACTTTTAATCAAAATTAATTACGTATTTACTGACATGCAAAGGAATGTATACATACAGTTCGTTCTCAATACATATCTTTATTACGCACATACAAACAAAACATAACACAACATAACAGAATCAACCATAAAATGACATTATTGCGTTACATGTCATTACAATAAATCATAAATACGGAAATACGTACAAACATGCTAACAAACATGCATGCATAAATGCATACCCACATACACACATACCTATATTGCGTTCATTTGCGTTGCATTTTATTACATTACATTACTCTACACTACATTGCATTACATTACATGAAATTACATGACATGAAATTACATTACTTACATGCATAATTCAAACTCACACATGTACAAAAACAGGTTTCTACAAATATACATGATACATAGAAACATGTGCATATATAATTCTTTCCAAAAAACAAATACTAATAACCAATAATCACAATTACAGTATTTATGTACATACTGACATAGGTGCACATATACATGTCCTCGCTAGGCAAACAACAAATTCGATAATGATATGATTATCTGAAATGTTAGGTCAAAGCGCTCTTCCGGGCTAAAGAACTGGTGTTGGGCCGTGGTTCCATGACAATGGTACTTTTTGTGGACATCGCCAAGAACAAATTAAAATCTTGGCACATTGGTGAACATCAAAACACCAAACAACTGGATGTCCATCCCCCAAACATTGCCATCATCCCCAGATATACATAAAGGCACTACCTTATCTAGAATCCTGATACGAATTCACCTGATCGTATGTCCACGGAATGTCTACTGATCGTATGGATCAAATCATATCTTGCAACTGGTTTGCGACCAAAACGCTCCAATTACGGGCCGAATAAAAACAAAATGAGTGTTCGCTGCCACCATGGAAAAAAAAAACAGCTGGCAATATCTGGATAATTAACAAAATATCGCAGGGGATCACGAGCCGATACCTTTAACCACCAATCAGCGTGTTTTCAACGGTGCAAAAGCCGAACATTTTACAGTCTCTCACATGCCAACATCACAGTTTCACTATGCTGATATGGGTCTTTTTCAATGGTGTAAAAACCTCCCAAAAAACGCCATTTTTCAAAGGGAAAATGCTGATTTTCATCACTGGACTGCCTATTTTCAGATTAACCCAGGTCTCCACCACGACGTGGCCTTGGGGTCATCGGGAAGATTTTTGGAGTCCGGCAGCGCAGGCCGTTGCCTCGGGATGCCCCCAACCTTTTTCGGCCTTCTGTTGTGCTCTTGTGATGTGGAAGGTACCCAACCTGGTTATGACTAACAGTTCGCCATGGAAAATCACCATTTTTAAGAGGTTTTTACTAACCACAAAAACTAAGTATGGTTATTCTCTGGGTTTTATCCCATCTATAAATGGATACCCTCTGGTTATGACTAACAGTTCGCCATGGTATAGATGGCCCTAATCGAAATAGACGGTTTACCGTTCTTAAAAATGAGTGGATCTTTCCATGGCGAACTGTTAAATAACCAGAGGGTATGATGTGGGGAAAAGGTGACTTGGGATGATGTGATGCTGTGATGAAATGATGAAACCTGAAGCTGTTTTGCTGGGATGCCGACAAAAATGCAGCAATCTTGAAAAATGCACTATGCAATGCACCAATGGAAATCGAAAATGCAAAAAAAAATGCAATTTAAAAATGCAAGAAATGCAATTTTATTGTTTTTCTTATTAAATAACTATAAACCGGGGACTTGGAATAGGGCTATGATTAAGATGTTCGCCGCCTTTTGGGATTCCTTAGTATGTTCTGCTTAGTCGATACTGGGGTTCCCACAATTGATCAGTTTGTAATCACCAATGACTTGTTTGATCGTTAAATGTTGCTTCTATGGCATTATGGTTCATAAAAAGTCAATGATCCCTCTATATATCATCAGCTAAATGGCTTTCGTCAACCATAATTCAGGAACTCAACAAATTCTCTCAATAAGTCCTCATTTAATCAAGAATCCCCCTACCTTGACAACAGAAATCGAACAAGTGGGGGGTTCCTAAAATAGGGCTACCCCAAGTCACAATAAAGCTTTCAGTACTAAGTCATTAAGTCATGATCATATGATATATATATATATGGTCATACATGACGACTGGATAATTTTTTGGGGATACCATGACTTTTCGGAAAGCTCCATGATCAGGTCCCTGCCCACTGCACCAAGCCGGCGAAGCCCAAGCAAAGGCGCTTCTTTGGCTTTGCCATCTCTTCCTCTTCCTCCTTCGCCGCCTGAATTGGTGAGTTCAAAAAAAATGATCCATGGCATCATTTGCTTGGTAAATGATTGGATCTGTGTGCAACACAAATGGTGATTTCATAGAATTTCACGAACAAAAGCGGGTGATTTCATCGGATTTTTCCAAGAACAATCGTGACCTAATGATCTCAATGGCATTTAAACAACCAGAATGGGATGGGTATCTGTGGCTCCAATTTAAGCCTGGCCCTACCATCAAACAAACCCAATTAGGCAGGGCCAGGTGATTATATCATCGTTAAATCATTAGTTATTGGAGTTGTATTCACCAACTTAGCCAACTAAACCCCATGAAGTCCCATGAAATCACAATTTGTCATGGTCAAATCCTCATAAATCCCCATTGTTCATGGTTAAATCATGTTAAATCCCCATGAACTCATCATCTTTCATACTTAAATCCCCAGAACTCACCATTTTTCACACTGAAATCCCCAGGAACTCACCATCAAAGATCCCCAGGAACTCACCAAAAATCCCCGGTGAAAACCGTGCCTCGAAGTCCGTGTCATCGTGCGAGTCCGCCGGCAGCAGCGGCGAGCTGGGCATCCGCAGGACGAGATCCGCGATCTCCGCGCGGTCCAAACAGGCCTCCGCCCAGGCGCACCACTCGGCCTCCCGTTGTGCGGAGGAAAAGTCCAACCTGCTGGGAACCTGCTGGGAAAACATGGGTCATTAAATGTCCCCATTGAACATCACCCAACCATTAGGTATATGGTCTATAATGGCTACTACAAGGTGATGTCCAATATACCCAAAATGGGACAGTTACCAACCCCTGGAAAATGAGGGAAAACTGCGAAAATGGGTGGTTTTCTTGTGTGACAAGAAGTTTGCGGAAGTGGACACCAAAATTTCCAAATAAAGCTGAGGGCAAAGAATGGTTAGAAGATAGTGGAATGATGTTGAAATCAGAACATGGGCGGTGTGATTTGGATCGTTTCCACAGTTTGAAGCATCATTTGCGGGTGAGGTTGGTGTGAGGTTGCTAAAGGTTGGTGGCAAATTGTCTGGTGGGGAAAATGTTTGGTGGCAATGTGTTGAAAAGGATGGAAAAACAGTTTATCTCAACAACAAAGGTCACCAAGAATGGAGAAAGTGAGGGTGATTTCACGTGTTGACCAACTGCGTCTCCAAACAATCATCATTGGTGAACCCTTTCGGCTGAACTGAGAAACAAACAGGGTTTCAGCATACTTGTACAGAGATATACTGTGAATGGAAGAAATCCTGCACCAGTTGGTAACTTTCAGGATTCCTATGAAACACTGAAAATCCTGGGATGATCAAGGGATTTCTTCCATTGAACAACTGTTGCAGGATTTCGCAACCATCCACAGTCTGGCACATTTCAGACATTTCAGGACCTCTTTGCGGCTCAACAAAAATTATCCTGTTGCGTTTATTTGACACTCAATAGTACCACAACTGAATTGTTGAATCAAAACAATCGAGAATACCAAACATGTTTTCATAAAATACCAAGTTTATCCATAAATTCTGTGCATAAATTGGACAGTCTAACATGGTCTACCTATGGCTCTTGTTTTTTAAAAGGCGCCTGTGTCAGGAGTCCGTCGCCGTCCGAATCCGCTTCGTTGAAGATGGCGTCGATGCCTCGGTTGCCAGGGCCAGGGGATTTAACCATCAGAAACTGGAATTGAACTGATGGTAAAATCCCCTTTTCAATAGATGAATGGGAAAATTCTCAATTTTTCTCAGGCAAATTGGGGATTTCATCTTGGGATTTTTTTTTTAAAAAAAACTGGGATTTTTCACTGGGAAAACTGGAATTTCACCGAGAAAAGCTGGGAAAACTAAATAATTCTCATATAATACTTAATATTATTGTTTTCCATAGACAAATACTCAATGATTATGTAATGATGTCTGTGTCATTTAATTTTCGAATGAAAACCATGTGTATATATATATAAGGATATAAAGGGACAACATGTTTGGCAGTCAAAGGATCTTAAAGGCATAAACTAGGTGTGTTAATGGCCAAAGTATGTCAAAAAAATGTCAACAAGGATCTTAAAGGCACAATGACAATGCAATTTAGGGGATTCAACAACTGTGAATGAACCAGGAAAAACAAACATTTCGCCAGGCAAGCGCTTTATGCTATTCTTTGGGGAAACGAATTAGTTGGCCAACTGATTTCGAATTTAGGCGGTTCACAGGCTGTTTTGGAGATTCTGAACCTGATGTCTTCCCATCTGTTCCCTGGTTTTCACAGCAACACAGCTGGTGCTGATGTTCATCCAGAGATGTCCCAAAGGTACGCATAGACTCCCATGTGAACCACCAAAAATGGGGAGACCCCCAAAGTCATCGAGCATCAACAGCCGCTGGATGCTGTAAGGGGCTGGTAAGATCTCCCATGATCTTCACCATTAAGCCATAAAATGAGGGGCTACCCAGCATGGCTTGAGACTTCAACTCATCTTGACCCTGCCATGTGGAAAGGATATATTCATACATTTTCTCAGCATTGTTGGTGGCATGCTTGTTTAATCCATGAGAACAATGGTGGTTTCGTGGTATGGAAAACCAACCATGGGGATATCATGGGGATATCGCTCAAGTCATAGCTCCCACCCATCGCTCCCCAAGGACGATTCCGCCGGGACACAATCGTCGGGGACCTCCATGTCAGAAGCACTTTCTTGTAAGACCTTCGAGGGATTTTCTACACATGTAGCTTGAATGCTAGTACTTAATGGGATTTCATCGGGAGATGAAATCATGGGGCAATTGGCCAACAACATTTTTGCCAAAGTGCTGTCAGCTTTTGGTGCACATTCATGACACACATTTTTTGTCACCATTTGGTGCTGTTTCATATAGGTTTCATGATAGAAAAAAAAGAACGACCTATATATTAGAAACCTATGGGTTGGAAAATGTTGACCAAGGCGCCTTTTGCATCTCCTTCTTGTCGATGGCCTGAAGTCCCGAAGATGGTCTCATAAAATGACTTCTTAAAGATTGCTCAATGCGCCATCCCTGAAGCTCAAGAATTTCGAGACATCTCCAAGTTTTGATCTTTGTTCCATACTTTTTACAATTCATCTAGATCTACAAGGTGATGCCCCCTAGCTATAAGTCAGTTTATTAACCTACAAAATACACCTATTATCACCCTATATCACCATTATCACCATAAATTTCACTTGACCTCATTCTAAGCCAACACTTCGCAAAGTAAATCTCATAAAATCCCACTAAAGTCCATGGTGAATCTAAATAAAAAAATCCAAGCCTTGTCTCCGTTCACATCGTAGGACTCGAAAATCTGCACCAAGATCTGGGGCTGCTTACCTTGCTGCGATCAAAACATCTGCTTGGTGGTGCAATAACCATCTTGAAAAATGATGGAGTTCGTTGGGACCAGTTGGGATGATGACATTCCCAATATGATGGAAAGTCATAAAATTCTATAAAATTCCATGGTTCCAACGCACCAACCAGTATATTGTTGACGTGATTCACTATATATCACTGTCATCTCTAGATGTTTACATTTAGCTCATATATTATTGGAGACTTGATTCTAGATGTTTACACTAGAGATGAACATTTAGCTCATATACTATCTAATTGATGTTTATGCTATCATCATTATTGATGTTTACACTATCATCATTATTGATGTTTACACTATCATCTTGTGATGATTCACCATGATGTTCAGCATCGCCCCCTTGTGACCCTCGAGACAGCACCACAAACACAGCGGACGAAAGGATCAACATCAAAATGCCCCTGGGGTTCCGGGAATATGTCCTTATATTAAAAAAAAACTTGAACTTTTTGGCGGTCAGCATTGTTAACATTTGTTAACCACTATTCTTTCAACACCACCTCAGTGTTCGAAACAGGAACGGCTCGAAAATGGATGTGTCAAGTGGGGTACACCCCCTCAATAGATGCCAATTGTGGGTAAAAATGCTGAACTTCAACAAAAATGAATTTAGAGGCCTAGATTCCTCTATAGATACCCCGTCCAGACAGCTGGCAGCTGCTGTCCCAGCTGCTCTTTTGGCCCTTCAGCTCCTGCCACCTGCGGTGGGTCGCGCTTTCGACTAAGGCAACCTTGCCATCCGTCTCCGGCTCCTGTGGAAATCATGGAGGTCTCATGGAGTGTCCTGGAAAAGTTGGAGAACACCAGATGATTAATGGTGATTATAGTGGATTATAATGGTTATATAATGGACTATAGTGGATTATAGTAGATTAACAATGGTTAATAATGATGAAAACCATGGTTATCTGGTTGGTGGTTGAGCCTACCCCTCTGAAAAATGATGGAGTTCGTCAGTTGGGATGATGACATTCCCAATATGATGGGAAAAATAATCCAAATGTTTCAAACCACCAACCAGAAAGTTTTTCAAAAGAACCCCAACAGCCTATGATATCTAAGTTTTCGAAAACCATGATAAGTAGGAGAAGACGCGCTCAACGGTTGGATGATTATTGGCAGATTTTATGTATCTGTGCAGGCAATGCACTCAGCGAAGTTTAATGCAATGTTGCCATTCTCTTGGACTAATACTTGGTCGCATGTGACATCTCCAAACTTGGGTGCCCCACAAAGCCACAAACGACTTTGTGGATCCCATGCTGATGAACGTTTCCCAGATTCAATCACGGATATGGCTGATCTAATCCACTTGTATCAGTTGTATGACTTTTAAGTATCCGTTCATATCCTCCATAGATTGATAGATAAAATCCCTTCTCCAACATCATCCCAATCTTTGGTTTATAACCAATGTTCATATATATATATATACATGCATATCTTGTAATGGTCTTTCATCACACAATTGATCCCGTGAAGAAAACACTAATCCCTAGTGCTCCAAATACCATCTGAAAGGTGTAGACAGACCCCAAGTTAAACAACTCCTTGTATACAGTCTCAGTGTCGGTGTTTGGAGCTGTAGGGTAACAGTATTCACCACTATTGACCATTATGAACCTTTACTAACCATCATTAACCTTTACTAACCATGATTAACCTTTACTAACCATTATTAACCATTGATGGGCATATGTTCATATCATGAATGGTACCAGAAAATTTCCATCGAATTCACCTCCTGGAGCTGATCTTTGTCTCGGAGCTTTGCGGCGCGCGCCACCTCGGACATTATTTTAACGACCGTACTTTGGTACAGTAACCACCAATATCATCCAATATCTATATATATATGTATGTATACATGTGTATATATATATATATATGTATGTATGTATGTATGTATGTATGTATGTATATGTGTATATATATATATACATTATATATATATATGTATATATATATATGTATATATAGGGGTTGGTCAATATATTAGTAACAGCCATTTTTATCCATTTTTTGTTACACCAGTGTAAACTCCGACACATCCGAATAAAATACGACGACTTAGGCTGGTTGTCCACCTGTAACATTTCACTGCGAAGATATCCTTGCCACATGGAACCGCCAAGTACACTGGGCTGGGACTTCACCATTCGGAAAAGCGATCCAGGCGATCATTGCAAAAATGTCACCAAATGTGGATGTTAATATGAATTTATCAAGAAAGAAACAACAGCTTTACCATGGTTTACGAACAAAAGTTGACTGAAAATTTGGACATTCAACTGCAACCAGGGTCAGATTGCGTGAAGAAGTGGGGAGCTTCACCAAATCATATCTTCTCCCTATTACTAAAACTCCCCTAATTAATAAAAATAGGAGTGGATAATTGGCACTTTCGGGTTTTTAGCTTACAATTGCGTTCTTAATTGTGGTAATTGAGAATCGATAGGAGAACAGGATGGTGAAATAGTGATTTTTACCCAATATTGATAAAAATAGAATCACACCTGGTATTAGGGTCCCATAATTTTTAGAAAATCTTCGAAATCCAGCTTTTGGCAATATTTTAATTAGATTTTAAAAAGGAAATTAATCGATTTTGAAATATGTTTTTAAATCAAGGTTTTTAATTAAATATTGGGGGAACCTGCGAAATCCAAATTTTGGCAATTTTTTACTTAGATTGTAAAAAGGAACTTAATCGATTTCGAACGATTTCGAAATATACGTATGTTTTGTAGTACAGGTTTTTGATTAATATTAGGGGAACCTTCGAAATCCAATTGTTGGCAATATTCTAATTAGATTTTAAAAAGGTTTCGATTAAAATAGATGTTTTTTTAGTTTTACATACTAAAACAACGTAGCTCGATACATAATTCCCCTTAATAAACATAGGTCACCATGTTTACCATTTGGGGGGTAGGGTGAAGGGATTCGCAACAAAGGGTGGAGTTGACCTCAGATCATAGCCTACTTTGGGGCTGCGGGGTTTGCATCCCAGTAAGTGGGTAGTAACCTGTTTCTTCCCAAGTTATATAGGGAATATGTCCATTCATATTTGGGGCCATCACCCACTTAGTGGGATACACATCCAAGTACCATTTGGTAACATGCCGCATATCCACCAATTCCATCAAGCCGCTGAAAGTTCCTCACCGGTAGAGGGGAGTTCCTTGGGAGGTTCCCAACCTGGGGCGGAATGGCGGATCTGATGTGTTGGGGCAGCGCAAGTGACTTGGAAAAACATGATTCTCATTTTCGAAACTTTCAAAAACAATGTCTGGCTGGTCTTTGAAAGTGGTTCTATCCCTTAACATGTTCGTCATTTGGGGTTCATCCCAGGAGCTCCACTTTCCCCTCATCTCACCAATTTCGTTCCAATCAATTCGCATGGTATCTTAATTTCCAAATCTGATCTGAGGCCACTGAAGGATAATTCCCTACACCAGTATGGGGTTTGGTCCGCCAGTGAGGTCGCAACATCCTTCGCCCCATCGCCTTTGTGGACAATCATCCCACATAGTAACTGGTTGATGGTTTTCTACTGTATCCCGTTTATCAAAGTATGAAGTAACCATGTTTTGATTCTCCAAGTTCCCTTCCCTTCTATCCCATTTCGATCATTGGTCAGTCTAATCCCCACTCTTCCGGTTGTGAAAGCCAACTATTTTGCACATGAATCCCCGTGCTTCGCCGATCAAAACCCTTTTTTTTCGTCCCCATCCCATCCTTAAATCCCCCTTTCATGTGATTTTCAATAAGCAACTTTCCCACTTTCCTCGGTGACATCCCCATGTCCACCACGTTTGAGCACCTCAAGTCCCAACTTTGTTACACTGTTCCCCAGCAAAAGTCACCACCGACCCCTTCTCGCCAAGACGCTGGCAGCATCGCTTTTGCGGTTCACCTCCTTCCCCAGAGCACCGGCTTCCAAGAGATCCAAGGCTCCCAGGCTCTTGATGCATTCTTCGATATCCACCTGGCTCAGTGAACCTTGGAATAAAAACTGACATATTTATTTTCCACACATGAACGCCCATATCAAATAAATCGCAATATATATATATGATATGGAAAATGAAAAAAACACAATATAGTACTCATTTAGGAAAAATAAACCCAAAAAAATAAATAAATAATGAAAACATGAAAAACTAAACATAGCAATGCAAAATTTAAAAAACATGTCACACATTTTTTGTAATAGAAGTTTGATGAACGAGAAAACATAACATTAAAGAAACACTATATAAAACATTAAGTACACATGAAACATAATACAATATCTCTTGTTGAACCCGGATAAGCTATGGTATGGTATCAACTGTTTTTAAATGGTCACAAAAAAAATATGGTAGAGACATACTAAAGCATATTAAAGTATATAAATCTAAAGTCTATGTTGTTGTGCTAAAATGCGGTATGTCATATGACATGATTCAAAACTTGTAAAATAATTGTTGCTGAAATTTTAAATTATAATACAAAAAACGAACAAAAAAGAAGATAAGAACATACAATATCACATCATGCCGTATCATCACGCTTAATCAGGTGTCATCACATGTTGGATGTTGTGCACCGCGGCCGCAGCAGCAGCCCGCAGTGGCTGGCACGCCGCATATTGGACTTTGCAAATGCCCAAGCTGGAGATAAATCCAATACTAAACCGGGGGTTCTGAATCCCAAACATTCCACAGCCATAAACTATCCCCCATTCAAAAGACACAATATGTAATTCCCCAAGCTGGCATCTTCCTCGATGATCTTGCAGAACTCACCACATGTGTATATGTAAGAAAAATATATACAAGTAGATTTCCTGTCTATTTTTGTATAACCTGCATATTCCTCCATCAAAACAAGCGTTTCAAAACCCATCCCCACCCTGCCCTGAGCGGCCCTGAATGTATAAGTCAGGCCTGCAGGGTCTCCGCGATGACTTCAACCTTGAGCACTCCCTGGAAGGGATCCTGGCTTCCACGAATTTTGGGGCCACGAATTTGGCGTGGTTAATCCGATTTCTTGGCCCTTCACGTGCCTGAAAACGTTGGATTCGCCATCAAAAAAGTGCTAATTTTGATAGGGAAACTGATGATTAACTGACAAATCACTGGATTGGAAGGGTGTACCACATCTTCCGACAGCCATACAAATCATACATCCAAATACCAGTAGTACCGTACAAGGCGGCGGCTGAGGTTTCACGGATAGGAAACTATAGGACACGTGAGTTGCTGTGGTGCATGGATGGCAGAGCGAACCCACTGATGGATCGAAAGGCGGTTGAAGCTCTGAGTCTCTCTCTCTCTATCTATCTCTCTCTCTCTCCCTCTTTCTCTCTGTCACCTTCTCACTGTGTCTCTCTATCTCTCCCTCTGTCTATCTATCTATCTATCTATCTATCTATCTATCTATCTATCTATCTATCTATCTATCTATCTATCTATCTCTTGTGTAGCGTAGTGTAGTTGCACTAGTAGTTGCACTTGTAGTTCTAGTGGTAGTTGTAATTGTAATTAGTTCTAGTTGTAGTTGCAGTTATTTGCGGTTGCAATTGCAGTTCTAGTTGTAGTTGCAGTTGTAGGCGTAAGTGTGGGTGTAGTGTCGTGCCGCGTCGTGTGGTGTAGTGTAGTCTAGTCCAGTGTAGTGTAGCGCAGTGTAGCGTAGCGTAGGGTGAGTTGTAGTTGTAGTTGTACTTGCAATTGTAGGTGCAGTTGCACTTGTAGTTGTTAGTTGTTAGTCGTTATAGTTGTAGTTGTGGCTGCAGTTGTAGTTTTAGTTGTGCACACTTTTTCGATATCTCAACTTCCAAAGGTGGTCCGAACATGTAGTAGTGCTTTTAGCATTTTGACTTCGAAATGTGCTTCGCGCTAGAAACGGGTGCACTTTTTGAAAATATCAACTTCCAAAAGTGCTCCCAATATGTGGTTTTTTAATATGTCCCCTTCCAAATGCGCTTCGCGCCACAGCCGCGTGCACTTTTTCCACACCTCAACTTCCAAAAGTGCTCCCAATATGTGGTTTTTTAATATTTCCCCTTCCAAATGTGCTTCGCGCCACAGCAGCGTGCATTTTTTCGATATCTCAACTTCCAAACGTGTCCGAGCATGTTGTGCTTTTAGCATTTTGACTTCGAGATGTGCTTCGCGCCATACCCACGTCCACTTTTGGTCCGACACGGAGGTGTCTTTAGCATTTTGACTCCCAACACGTGTTGCGCCACAGCCGCGTGCACTTTTTCCACATCTCAACTTACATGTGGTGTTTTTAGCATTTTGACTTCGAAATGTGCTTCGCGCCACAGCCACGTGCACTTTTGGTCCGACACTGGGGTGTTTGTGGCATTTTGGCTCCCACATGTGCTGCGCGCCACAACGGCGTGCAATTTTTCATCTCTCATCTCCCCAAATGGCTCCGCACGCGCCGCTTTAGCGGACTTTAGCGAGCCTACTTTTTGACTCTCCGGGTCCCCAAACATTGGAAAAATTGCGCGCGTTCATCTTCTTTCTACTGCCTTTCTCTTCTCTGATCTTTTTTCTTCTTCCTCTCTCTTCTCTGATTCTTCCCACCTCTGCTTTTCAATCTGTCCATATTGTCGGAAGTTTGACTTCCAAACTCCCTTCGATCAGAAGTCTACAATTATTCAAAGACCATAGATGACATCCCCACTTGAAGACCGGATTGCAGCTATCAACTATGCACCAACCGTCCATGCAAGCGAGATTCAAACAATCCCCCATTGACCGCAAAAAGACTGCAATACCCAGGGGCCTTTAAGGGACAAAATCTTTGGCCTGTGATGATCTCCAGTCAATGGGTGTCGCTTTGAAACTTTGCCATTTTGCCAGCCAGAAATGACGGGTCATGTTTTTTTTCCAGCCATGTCGTGCTGAACCCAACAGCTTGTCCAATTTGGCATATGATCTGCATCAGTTCCAAAAGTTGTGCAACATATGGAAAGAATATACCAGTACCCAAACACATCAACTTCAGGCCGTGATGCTTGGATTGCATATCATTTAAGAGCAGGCTTGGTATTCCAAACCGCCTGTCATTCCATTGTGCTGATTGGTTTCTTAAGGCATTAGATTATGATATCTTATGATAATCCGAAATCTTTTTTTTACAATATCCGCTTCTTTCATAACCAACAGGGCTGTCTTGCAGCCACAGCTCCTTTTACATGGAATTCCCATAGTGACCCCTGCGAATGAGGTGCTGGAAGCTGATGATTGTCCTCTTTACCCCATTGCTTGGAGGATTCGGGATTGCATACTATGACATACTATAACCCTATAATATAGCTTGAAATAGCTTAGAGCCCAGATATTAAGTACTCCATAGATATTCCATAGAAATCATAATCCAGCTATTAACATCCCATCTATATCCGTTGAGAAAATCTTCAGGAATCATGGATCGCAGTGGTTCGTGCTTCGTGGCTCCGTCCAGGGGCCGAATCAGACAACTGGAAGCTGAAAAACGCGGGGATTGGTATGACATGGTTTTAAAGTAGTGGCTTTAACCATGGGTTTTAACCCCATATTTAATATGTCAATATATGTCAATATGTCCTGAAACTCCGGAATCATCCTGTTATGTCAACATGATCCCCGAAAAAAAGGGTGTCCATGCAAAGTCCCACATGCTTGATCATTGGGCGTGCGTTTTTATTGTATATGTGGTTTGTCACATCATGTCTGGGGCCAAACTTATTTTGCACACGGAGCAGACATTTAAATCGCCGGACGTAGATATATCATATATGCCCTCTGGTTCTTTAACATAGCCATGGAAAATGGATGAAAATGCCCCATTTATAGATGGTTTACCGTTCTTAAAAATGGTGGATCTTTCCATGGCAAACTGTTAGGTCACAACCAGAGGCTAGATCTGCCATACGTTTCAACCTTCGGATCGGGTGATCGCGGTGACCGTATCCTTTCGTTGAGATTTTGAGGAACGTCATGGCCATTTGGGATGATCAAAAATGGGGGAAGTCCTGGACGCCAAACGAGCACAAACAAGCAGAAATCACTGTTTGGTGGTTCCCTATTCCTACAATGTGAGGCCCCCAAGATAGCGTTCAGTTGGTTTGTTTACCTCCAATAACTATGGTGTTTTGGTACGCAAATAACTATAGTTACTGGGGCTTATATAAACCAACCTATAACTGGGGGGCCTCACATTGTATCAATTTTACATGGAATATGATCCCTAGCATGATGCCACGTGACCAAACATTTTCCAGAGGAATTACTGTGTGTATATATAATATCTATATATATATACCTGCCAGCAACATGCATCCTACCCAAATTATCCCAAACATTTGCTTTGTCTTCCCATGACTTCAACACTCCGTCGGGTGAAAATCAGGGGCACCTCAATGACCAGCCCAATCTCAAAGATTCCGAAAAGGGCCCAGCTCGCAAAGCCTTGGATGTTTAGATACCCTCTGGTTTCATTTAATATGGCTACCTGGAAAATTCCAAATGTTTGTTGAATGGGAAGATCTGGGATCAGATAATCGAAGTGAATGGCTGATGTTGGCTAGGTTGAATTACTAGAGGCTACTTGGTAAAGACATTGGGTATGTTACCCACGAGCCTTGGTGTGTTTTGGATCTTACCCAGCTTGCTCCAAGATCTGGAACCAATTGGTGGTATACCTACCCCCCTGAAACATGATGGAGTTCGTCAGATTGGATCATCATCCAGTTCCTATTGGGGAACATATCAAATTCCATGGTTCCAAACCACCAACCAGTTTTTACCATTCCACTGATGGGAACGGAAACATCAAAAAACCACTCAGCATTGCGACACATCGGTCCGGTCCGCCGCCCGGGCAGGTCACAGGTCACAGGGATGGTGTATGGTCCGAGGACGTCCACCAGAGCAAATGGAAGCCTCACGCGATCCGTGGCATGAAAAAAGCTGAGCTTTCCGACCATGGAGAAATACCGGGGTAAGACGCAGCAGGCCCTGGGCAAGTTATGGTGGGTTTCTATGTTTGGAAACTGATCCAAAATCTTCATCTGTGCGCTGCGATTTCTCGCGCAAGTGTTCATACCCAATGGACTGGCAAAGCTCCGCCAAGCTGCGTCAACATGAAGAGCGAAAGGAAGCGTGAGGTGTGTCGGACATAACCTCGTGGGTCAGGTAACTGGGCTCCCAAAAAAGGAGGGAAGGGTTCGACGTATGGGGGTGCCACAGCAAAAAATGCTGGTCATTTAGACCAGTTTGCGAACGGGAGAATCACCATTTTGATAGGTAAATCATGGATAATCATGGTAAGTTATCTATGAATCTACCACTGCTTGGTCAATAACTAGTATCTACAAAATTAATCAAAATTATCTATAAATGGATTAGAAACTGATTGGAACCTCATCTACTGCAACCAATATATAAAGGACTCTCCCATCAAAATGGTGATGTCAGCAACAAAACAATGCCTAGTACTGGAGAACAAAAATGACAACCAAACCAAGGGGATCAAGGGGGAATTGAGGAATTGTCTAGCATTAACATATTGCCCCCCAAAAAATGGCAGAAAACCATCCCCCATCCAGGCAACAGCTTATCCTTGACCAAACAAGGGGAATTCACCACAGAGACATCACCCGGGTCCAGGTTTCAGCGGGAACGCTGGACCAAATGGTTGCAGACAGCGTTGCAAACATATCTTTTTTGGTGGCATCCTGAGCATTAACATGGAACATCATGGAACCCCAACATATGCTTCGCACTGCCAAAAATTATGGGTTCCATGATAGTTGAGGATTTTTTTCACGGCGAAAAAATTCTCAAGTCAGGGCCTGGTGGCCCACTGGGCTGTCAAGACACTCAGGGGCACAGGGGTCTGTACCAGCCGTTCACAGGCTCCAATGGTAGCGCCTCAGAGAAGATTCGATGTGAAAACCACAACCAGAGTACCCTCTGGTTATGTCAAAATAGCTATTGAAAATGGCCATAGAAATAGTGGATCTTCCCATTAAAAATGGGTGGATCTTTCCATAGTTTTTTGTATGTTTACCAGAGGGTAACCAGGATTCTAGATTCTGAATATAGAATCTTTGGTTAGACATCCATGAGGAGCTAAAACTTGATGTGAAAACGCTCACCCATCACTTGTTAGCTGCGGTTGGGGGCTGCGGTTGGGTGCTGGCTGTGTTTCTCTGAGACAGGACTGGTTTTGTGAAAATGGCTTAGATACGCTGCACCTGTAAAATCTTCAAACTTACGAGTTGGTTTCATCTTCCAAACCGTGGCAAAAGATGGAAGCGTTGATTTTAAACACAACGCTTAGTCGATTGTAACGTGATCCACCTGCCGTACCCCTGCCACGAAGGTTGCCTCGAAACTTTGGAGCAGTTGTCTAACTGGTGCTCCCGGTCGCCGATCTGTTGGGTCCAAGAAACTGAGTTTCTCTAAGTTTTGCATCAGCCAACTGCGCTCGCGGTTGGTGTACAATGCCTGGCAAATGAGCGCAAAAGTGGAAGCACCAAATATATCCGAAGACGGGTACCCTCTGGTAATTTAACATTGAACATGGCCCATAGAAATAGTTGATTTGCTATTATATAAAGATGTTGATTTCCCAGTTCGCTATGTTAGTTTACCAGACGGTATGTGGTGAGGAACACGTAGTTGAACTCTGGCTAATCCTAATGTTTATACAACATTATACAACCATATGGATGCCAACACCAATCCCCGTTTCCGCTGGTGGGATTTCAGTGTAAAGGGGGATGATGATTCTTTACGTTCTCCCCGGTGAAGCCATATTTTTCTGATTCGATGGTTTTTGGAGTCTTAAGAAGACAACAGAAAGATAACAACATATCATAACATCCAAAAGATAATAAATATATACAGTATATAAATATAACATTATATAACAATATAACATCCATAATTTCTGCCCTGATGATTTGTTGTGTCAAAATATAACATCCACTCCATGTCGTCGGTTTCACTCATGCACCCAGCCAGGAACGAGAGAAGATAAACCCCTGTGCCGCACAGTGCCTGTTCTTTTTGGGGTGAAACGGTGAAATCATGAAATGCCAAAATCTAGGATTGATGGGTTAAGTATGGTGGCCCTCCGGATTTTTTTATACATAGCTATATAGATGGCTCAAGTCGGTTGTTTGCTGCTTGTGCAATATATCAATGCCCGCAAATGTGGAGGATTTGCCTATCAAACATGACAATTTAACCATAGTTTGTTGTTTGTCACCAGAGGTTGTATCCCTGTCCGACAGTTTTGGACATCTCTAAATTCCTTTGTGTTTCAGTGATACCGTGGTACCGTGGTACCAATACACCGATCATTCGTGAAATCTACAGCTTTGCTGGTTCCACAACATGCTGCCGGCAAGTATTAAAATATACTGAGTAATACCCATAGGATCCATGTATGCTATATATGGTAACATTTACCATCAATATACCCCCAATGTTAGCATATATACCATACATGGATCCTATGGGATATGTATCATTATGTATCCACCATTTTTTGGTGCGTCACATAGTCATGCTCTGGTTTCGATCCACTTCTTGTCAGCGATCTCTCCACCTTTGTTTGTCTTTTGAACATGTTATGAATCGAATCCATTTTGTTTCCGATCATCGTCATAAAACATATTTCAGTTTATATCAAACCATATCAAGATATATCATGTCATGTCACATGAAATTACATTAATTAAATTATATATATATGGTTTTGACCACAACTGAAAGTCGAGAATTACAGTTTTATACAATTGGACGGATGATAATACGAACCCACAGGTGCAATGGTCAAAAGATGTACAGTACCCGTATTGGGGATGGCAGTCAATCCAATTTTGCTGTGGGTAATTCACAATGCCATGAACCACCCATGACTGGGAATGGTATTTTTGATGGTTTATACATGTTTATACCACCTATAAAAATGGTGATTTTCCTGGGGGATGGTTTATTCTTGTTTACCGACCTTACATCCCATTCAAACAGCATTTTGTTTGGTCAACAGACCATGTTTTTTGTCCCATCCCAGTTCTCCCATGACTGCGTCGCGAACCTCCTGGCCCCGCCCGTTGGGGACCTCCCGGATGGCGTACGCCAACCTCGTTGATGGTATCGTCTGGGAATGGATTCATGGGCCATATTTTTTTGTAAACCCCCCAAGAGAAAGAAAAGTAAAATCCAATTATGGTTAATGGATAATTATCCAATTACCAATTTGTACTATGGTACTATTAATTATCAAAGAATAGTGGATAATTATGGTTCTAATTGTTTGACGCGGAGTACCGTACATGTTATCGCTGTAAATCGTATTTGGATTGATCAGGGATGGCGCTATTAATGTTATATATAGTTTAACAGTGGTGGCAAATAATTAAGTGAATATTACATGGGCATGGATGAATGAGACAATGAAAACAGGTATTCATCAACATCATCAATATCCGTTGGGACTGGGGTGTGTGACATTTTTTAGTTTCAAAACACTCTCCGGCAAAAGTGGTCCAATAGAAAATAGTTGGAAAACAAAAACGGTACATATGATCGTTTTTCAACCATGTGCATCAAAAATCGTTGGAATATCTGTGGAACAACAACTCATTGCAGAATCATTTTCACAGCCCTCATCCAGCCGGACCAACACAACTGCTTTTGAAACAAAATTTTCCAGCATAAAAAAACGGGGGTTTCTTGAAACGGGTGACATCAAAATCATCCAAAATGTGCTGCTGGAATCGGGGAAAAAACTGGTTTAGGCTCCAAGCGGCAGGGTTAAGTCATAGCATCTCGTCTAAGTCATTGCCAGGGTCCTGTTTCTGCATGTGAACGCTGGAAATGGTTTAAGTCACGGCCGCTCGTTTTAAGCCATAGCCGCGTGATGCCTTTCCCCATGTGTAGGCGGCTTCAACCGAGGCTCATACTATACTATTTATGATCAGTTCAGCATGGAATTCCTATTCATATCTATTCATTATATATGTTTTGGGATGTTTTGGGTATGTGTTTCTCATGGAACTTACAATGTAACCGCTGTATAAACAACAGGCCCATCAAACAACAGGCCCATCTGCAACAACGTTGCACAGTTCCAGGAGGGGGCAGCCTTGCTTGGTGCAAGTTGGCGCACCAAGCAGAACCACAGGAACCGCCGTGTGTTTGGCGCTGCAGCTCGCTTGGAGGAACTGTGCAAGTTCGCGGCTCCAGAGCTTTCGCTGCGCGCTAACCTGCTCGACATTCTTGAGTAAAATGTCCGAGGCAAGATGTACAGCCATTCCTGCTATTCAGGAACCACGCACGTACAGTAGTGGGTTTCAGAAGGAGGGAGCACGCAGTATGAGCTGGGATGCGCGTTCAGTGTTTGGGTATGCCTGTTGAAATTTCCCCGCTTTCCGCAGCTGCAACTCAAATTCTTTCGGGCCGCGAGATGTCAGAAAAGGAGCTGAGAGCGGAAGATGCTGCAAGACGTCTCTGAACACAAAAGCAGAAGAGAACATGATAAAAAGAAAGGAATTCAACAGAGAGGAACTACACGGAATTCAGAATTCGATTTAAAATCAATTTTGACCTCATTCAGAATTAAATTGCGTTAGTTTAAAACATGAAACGGGAAGGAAAGAAGTAGAAAAGGAAACGTAGGAAGAAGAAACTCGAGTTGAATAGAAGCACAAAGACGGAAGTCAGAACTAGATTTAGAATTTGTTTGGATCGAATTCAAAATTCAACTGTATTTAGTTTAGTTTAATTCTACTGCTTCAGGGCCTGGGAAAAAAAACTGCCTGAAGAAAGCAACAGTTCAACTCAATCACACCGAATTCTTGCAGGGTATATACGAAGACATGTATTACTGTCTGTCTGCCTGGCTGTCTGTCTCTGTCTGGCTGGCTCCCTGTCTATCTATCTATCTATCTATCTTTCTTTCTATCTTTCTTTCTATCTATATTCATTCTATCCATCCATCCATCCATCTGTCTATCTATCTATCTGTCGATCGATCTATCTATCGATCTATCTATCGATCTATCTATCGATCTATCTATCGATCTATCCGTCTGTCTGTCTGTCTGCCGATCGATCTAAAATAACAAAAACTAATCTAATCTTATCGAATCCATCAATCTATCTGACCCACAACCCCAACTCATGACCTCAAGAGCCAAGCCACTGATTCACGATGAAAAGAGGCCGATTCGAGGACAGAGGAAGGCTGTAGTCCGATTGGCAGTAACCTAGTGCCGTCCGGGATGATCGGATGTGTTTTTAGCTGGTACTAATGGCCTGAAAAATGACTACACCAATGGCTGGGATATCAAAAAATCAGTGTAACAAAGCCAAACTAACATTAATGGTTTGTTACTGGAATAAGACTAATAATGGGATCGTAATGGCAATTTATGGTAATTTGATAGTTTGTTACATTCTTATTACATTCTTATTACAATATATTACAATAACAAATCTCAATAACACTAACAGTAATCAGAATAAGAATGAGATAAGAATCCTGATTCTCCACCAAGGCTCGCCCAACAAAGTGTCTCCAGATGTCTCCAGCCCCTCTACGACTCTACGTCCTGTACTCATTGCCGTACTTGAGAGATGATAAACTTATTTGTAACAAGGTTTTGCCTGGACCAAAGATCATGGACACAAAGGGGTTGTTTCTAAACACCACTTAGACTTATTCATATTGATTCCATATCCATCCATATCCGGCAATGCAGCTCAGCTCATCTCCATATCGTTGTTTTTCTGAAAATGCGCTAACAATGTCTCATCTTGAAACGCTGTTATTTCCTCAAAACTTCACTTTGCAGGTTCCCCCAAAAGGAGCGCAAAGCCGAATAAGATAAGAAGAATCAGAAGAAGAAGAAGAAGTGAAAAGAAAGAACAACCACAGAAAAAAAAAAAACAACCAACACCAACACCAACACCAACACCAACAACAACAACAACAACAACAACAACAACAACAACAACAACAACAACAACAACAACAACAACAACAACAACAACCACAACGACAACGACAACGACAACAACAACAACAACGACAACAACAACAACAACGACGACAACAACCACAACAACAACAACAACAACAACAACAACAACCATGACGGCACCACCTCCTGTTTGCCAAGGTTTACCCATCATCTACTGCGATATACATCCACATGTTTGCGGCTAATAGGCTTCAAATCAAGAAACCATCCAAATGTTTTACAAAATCGACCAAATCGACCAAACCCAGATTGGTTTTTCTGCAATGCTAGAATTTGATGCCCCATAGTGAGCTAAAATGCTTCAGAAAACACTCCGACCTGGGGCACCAACTTTGTTGGTTACGGTAAATCCCATCAAAACCCAATGTTAGCTGGCTAAACCCCATAAAAAAGCCTTTTTTTGTGTCCTTAACTTCCATTCAATCACATTTTTTGTTGGTTAAATCCCAATAAATCACCATTTTCGTTGGTTAAATCCCATTATATCACCATTTTTGCTGGTTAAATCTCATTAAATCACAATTTTTGCTGGTTAAATCCCATTAAATCACCATTTCTGTTCCTTAAATCCGATTAAATCACCGTTTTTGCTGGTTAAATCTAATTAAATCACAATTTTAGTTGGCAAAATCCCATTAAATCACAATTTCTGTTCCTTAAATCCCATTAAATCACCATGTTTGTTCCAGGACCCAGCCGCAGGCCAGCTCGCCCTTGGGTCCGATGAGTCGTTCGAGTTTCGAGCGCATGGACTTGTCCTGGAGTTGTCGAATGGGGATGGATGGATCCAGGGGAAAATCGATGGAACATATATGGAAAATATATATAAATATATAAATCTATGGAAAAATGTGTGTGTGTATATATATAGAAATAAGGATATTTTTGGGATACTTCTCCCAAAAAATAACCATCATTCCAGGGTTCGGTCACAGTGAGGTCACTCTACTGTGCAGGGGCAGGTTAGGATTGATGAATAAGCCATATATGGAGGTTTCCATAAATGGAGGTACCTCAAAATGGATGGTTTATAATGGGAAATCCTATTGAATTGGATGATTAGGGGTACCCCTATTTTAGGAAAATCCCATAAAACAAGTGCATATCCCACTATATAAATAACTGAGTTCATGTGGTTACTTGCCAGTTACTAAGAGGGATGCACGTCCAAGTAGTATTGTGGTAAACCCAGTAAGAAGAAGGATGATAATAATACCACAACACTAATACAGTAAACTAATAAGTTAGGTAATGACGACAATAGTAAGTTAGGTAGTGATGAGAATAGCAACACTAATGAAAATAATAATAATAATAGTAACTGTAACAGTAGGATGAATCAAAATAAATTTGAAGACTCATAAGTCATAATTGTTTTCAAATAGGGAGTCACCCCCAAACAGTTGGGATACTATGGTCATCCACTCGGATCATTTGGGGGCACCCTTGCTGCTGGCATCCAGGGCGTGGAGCTCTGAAAAAGCTGGTCAAACAACGGGTTCTTCTTTGTAACACATGGGAGTGCTTGCACAAAACATCACAAAACCATGTCTATTTCATCAAACCAATCGGGCTGAAGCTGTTTCCAGTTCCCTTTAACCAGTTCTCGGACAGTTAGATGGCTATGGATCAATACCTATTAATACCATGTTAGTGGGATGAACATCCATTTACCAGCTATTTTGATGTGAACTACAGGGGTACAAGGTTTTGACACACTGCCAGATCAGTCAGGAGGAGAACCAATACTTAGGTAACACCAAGGTTTCTAGGGACTGCACCAAGAAGACGCTGGTTTCACCCCAAGATGGCCTTCTTGCCCCTCAAGTGCTCGATCATGCAGTAGGGAAAGGCTTGGACTAAACGACCTGCATGTGACCAATGTTGACCAACATGGCGAATGATGAGATTGCTTCCCTGTTTTTTTCCTTGGGACGGTTCCTTTATTAAAAAATGTCTTGTATCATTTTGATGATATCACTGAATTTACTGAATCTGACACGGCTGCAAAATCTGGCCCTTGCTTCACAGATTCACTGATTGGAACTAGGCCAATTCCGGCAACTCCCAGCATCCTCGATTTCGAGACGCTTAGAAGTCACACCAACCGGGTTTTCCCACAACGATCACAGCAATGGTAATATGCTAGTATAATTTTTAGTGGTTCCATGGTACAATAGTAATTCAATAGTAATATGGTAAAGTGGTACATGGTAATAATAATAGTAATATGCTATTACCATAGGCAAGGAGAAGTTCATGGGCCAAAGTGGTAAACCAATGCCATGTTTACCACCCATGACTGGGAATGGTAAAAATGTGGCTGGGGGATTGTTTGCTCCAGGAAGTCACCAACTGGATTTAAGCACATGGCTCCGGTGCCTTTGGGACAAAAGAACACAACGGGAAAACCATGGGCCCCAGGTTGAAGGGAAACCCGATCATCAATCCAGTAATCCATTGAAACCTCAATTTAGTTGGTTTCCCCATTCAGATAGATGTTCTCCCCAAGAATCCCCATAATCCCTTTAAATAAATTCAGGTTCAATGGATCCCCATATCTGGCCAGCAAAACATCGCCGCCGAGATCGGGGGCCACAAAAAAAAATGTTACCAGCTGGTTATTTAACAGTTCGCCATGGAAAGATCCACCCATTTTTAAGAACGGTAAACCATCTATTTCGATTAGGGCCATCAAAAAACCATGGCGAACTGTTAGTCATAACCAGTGGAAAAATCCCTCGGTCCCTCCGGTTTTTTTCGACCAAATCCCAGCGGCAAATGTGCGCAGATGTCTGTGATCCCATTTCCTCCCTCCACAGGATCGCAGTTCTCGCCAGGTTCCTGTCCCAGGAATGTGTCCCAGGAACGAGCCCAGCGCCACGGGATGGTTTTTTTCAATTTGAAATGCTGGTTAATCATGAGATAATCAACCATGCAATTAGTCAAAAATCATGGAAATATCAACCAGACTTAAGAAGCCTGGAAAATAAATGTTGGAATGTATTGACAGACAACCCAAAATTTGGATGATTCCTATCAACCTATTGTTTTTTTGGTGAGCTTAGACCCAGTCAAAAAAGTTCCTTAAAGATGTCTTTGGCTGCTTAGGAAGATATTCGATTTGTAGCAAACAACTAAGGACTTAAATTGGCTATCCAAGTCTATGCTGGTTTTGTATGTACATATGGATGCATGCATGTGCGCATGCCCGTCTGTTTGTCTGTATGGATGGCTGCATGGATGGATGGATGGATGGATGGATGGATGCATGGATGGATGGATGGATGCATGGATGGATGGATGGATGGATGGATGGATGGATGGATGGATGGACGTACTTACGGATGGACGTACGTATGAAGTACGGATGCATCGTGTCTTGTCTCGTCTTGTCTGTGACATCCCATCTTTTGCTAGTTCAATCCTACTTTGTAGGTTTCCGAAAATGCGGGTAACCCTGAATCATCCATACATTAATTAAATCATATTCATAGGATTTCATAGGGTGTTCCATCATAAACCATGTTGGGGATCCATTTCTGGAACCCATTTGTTTCCGTCCTGCCGAGGTCCAGGATCTGCTGCCAGATTTGACGACCCTCCCAGAAGCGCGAATAAGCCTGGAGCCGGCCCCGTTTCATGCAGATCCTATGGGATTGTGGGGATTGTATGGAGATAGTATTGGAATATATACTGGATCTTAAATATTTTGAGGGAACCAAGCATACTGAGGTTTCGATGAATAGATGACCATTGATTGTAGTCATTCACTGGTACTAGTTGAGAATATTATAATCAATTTATTAACACCAGCTTACTGGGCATATTACTGTAATAGCACCCCACAAAAAGATTCAGAAAGGTTCAATTTCAACCATGTTAGAATTGAATTTTACAAGCTTATATCGTTAGGGTGTTGGTTTATTGGGAATATTGCCATTAAGGGCATGAAAATACTGGAATAAAGTCAATATCAACCATTCATGCTCAAGTTTAATCATGAATAACATCAATGAAGTTGCAATTAGTGTCCAAAAATAGGGATTGCATCAATAGAACTAGTCTTGATGTCATGCACCGACATGTAGATTTACTGTAAAAGGCTTTATCTAGTCAGCTAACTTGGTTAACGTAACCAATAATATACCTAGTTACTATATTATGTTGCTAGCTAAGTTGGTTGTAATAACCAAATATTAGGATTCATACTGGATATCTGAACAGCTGAGTGGGTTGATATCATCATCTAGCCCGTCCATAAAACTGGAAATGGAAGCGTAGGTGCACTCTCAACGCTAAAATTCCCCCACCCATCTTTGAAGAGGAAGAAGTAAATATAAAAATCCCATCCCCCTGATATTAAATATTCGAACAAGACCTTGGTTTACTATTATATCGCTCTTCATTTGAGGGGTCCCATGAAGGGGTATTTCATATCCATGGAGGCTGGAAAATGAATTTAACAAAAGCGGGGAATCAGAATTCCAATTTAATATGCTTCAGATCTGAATTTCAGCCTTCTAATATTAACTACCGGAAGGAATTCCAATCCTTAATTGGGTGAATTGTCATTCATCGTTCGCAGGAGCCCCACAACATTGGCCTTCAATTTTCCATGGGAAATATACTAAAGCAAATTCACGATAAGTTAGAGATCTTACCCTCTGGTTATTTAACATAGCCATGGTATAGATGGCCCATTTATAGATGGTTTACTTCTTAAAAATGGGTGGATTTTCCATGGCGAACTGTTAAATAACCAGATCTTATACAGTCTAGTAGTTTTACAGGATCTCCATAAACCATCCATAACCTGTAGCTGAAATGTCCCTTCCGCGAAGAAATATAAAAATGTAGATATGGGTGTGTCTGAAAATAGTGTACCCCTAAACCCAATGGTTAATGATCATTATTAAATGGCTATAATTGGGAATATACCCTATTTTCAGACAAACCCATATGTCAAGATCATGTCCCCAAAAAAAGAAGCAGCAATGCAGCACTGCGGTGCACTGAAGGAAAACATGCCTGGGACGTCCTTTTGTGCTCATCTGAGCGCCCCTGAAAACCTGCCAGTCTACCGGGATAAAAAAGAACCCCCCCCAAAAAAAGGATATAGAAATGCAAAAGCCTACAGTGGTAAATGTCTGTTCTATCTTTTTGGAGGTTACTATTGTATTAATGGTTCATGATAAATACTAAGAATGACGAAGAATAGTTCTTAGACTCATCCCAATATCACAGTCACAGGCCGTTGCGGCATCGCGTCAAGTCGCCGTGTTGGTCCTGAAGACCAACAGCAAGCCGAGTGCAGACACCAAGAGCGCATGTCCAGTGGTGCTGGCGTGCAAGAACTTGCCCTAGCCAGCGGCCCAGCATAGCGCTGCTGGCTGACAAGTTTGGCTATCCGAAATCTAAATGGAATTTCTACCAATATTATACAATGTGAGGTCCCCAAGATAGCGTTCAGTTGGTGAACATAACTCCAATTTCACTATGGTTTATGGTACGCAAATAACTATAGTTACTGACGAATCTAAACCAACTTATAACTACAAAACCTCACATTATACCAATATTCGAATATACCAATATTATACCAAGATTCAAATGGAATATACCCAATAGATCACAATAGCTATAACCAAATCCTGAGCGTCCTGGAACATGCAAACTGCACGCAACTGTCTGACTCGCTGGACACAGCATCTGTACACAACGTCCCGGGTGTGGATTCAAACTATTTAGCTAAAGACCTTCGACATACCTGCCGTATGTCCTTATGTCCTTGAAGTGCAGTATGGTTTAGTAAATCACCAACAATTTAATGGTGATTAAAAAAGGGACTTAACGAAGAAACATGGTGTTTTCATGGTAACTTCACCGGTAATACCGGGTATTCCAACCAAATGAGCAAATCACCAATCAGAACAGCCGCCTGGGTCCCCTTAATATTGCTGTCAAGCAATTCAGAAAATGTTTGTTCTAATCTGAAGCATGGGATGGCCTATGAGTTTCCAAAAGTTGACACAACCA